TAAATATATATTAGATGATGATGATACCGTACAATAATATTGAAAAATTTAAAATGATAATAATGATAAAAAAAATTATTATTATCCTGCCAGATATTATCCACAATGAAGCCACTGAAGCCATTATCACTCCATTCGAGGCCACAAAAGTCTCCTCATCAGTCAACACCACAGTCATCCAACTAGATGATATCAAAATGGAGGCCATCGAAGCTGGAAATCCAAGTGATGAACTTCTCGAAGAAATGGCATCCGCCTTTGTTAAGGACATCTTGTCTAAGGCGTTGGCACAAACTCAGCAAGAGCTCCTTGTGGGTGATCAAGAAACACCAATCAGCGACACCACAAAGGGTAAGAGATCTATCATTATAATAGATAATGATGATTATACTGTACAATAATATTTATAATTTAAAATGATAATAATGATAAAATAATTATAAATCCTACCAGAATATACTATCCACAATGAAGCCACTGAAGCCATTATTACTCCAGTTGAGGCACCACAAGACTCTTCATCAGCAAACACCACAGTCATCCAACCAGTAGATGATATCAAAATGGAGGCCATCGAAAACGAAATTGCAAGTGATGAACGTCTTGAAGAAATGGCATCCGCCTTGGTTAAGGACATCTTGTTTAAGGCGTTGGCACAGACTCAACAAGAGCTCCTTGTGGGTAATCAAGAAACACCAATCAGCGACACCTCAATAGGTAAGAAATCTATTATAATAGATGATGATGATGATAATGTACAATAATATTTATAATTTAAAAGGATAATAATGATAAAATAATTCTGTGATTTTGTTATTAATTGTAATGTATACAAATATGCCTGATTTTTAAAAAATAATATTAAGTTAAAATCAAATGATAGAATTAATGATAATGATGATTATCAAACAAAATTGATAACAAAAACTGAAAACTATTTATTTTTTGTTGACTTTATGTATTTGTGTGTTGACCTTATGTATTTTTAAAAAAATAGTTTGCGACTTCGACAAGCCTTCTGCTTCAAAGGATTTTGCCGTGAAAGTATCTGATGATCAGAATCGAGAAGATGGACAAGAAACAGTTGCTGTAGACGTGGCATACGTCACCGAAAATGATCAGTCAGAACCCAAGGTGAAGCTAGGCAGTGATCAAAACCAAGAAAAAATATCTAAAGGTGCAGCATGTGTAGTTTGTTTTTTCATTCCAGTAATATAATCTTTGTATTGGGTCTAATGATTAGTAGATAAATAATTAATTGATAATAAGTAAATGAAGATAAATTTATTTAATATGCAGATATAGGTATAACATGTGAGTCAAGTACGAAAATAAATGACAGAGGTTGACGTGTGACAGAACATAAAATATATATTATTTAATTGAAAAACGTATATGGTTGACATGTGACAGAACATAAAATATATATTATTTAATTGAAAAAAAGTATATTTCGTCATGTCCTCAGGACTTCTTCAGCGTTAATGAAATGTACAGAACTATTGGCATCATATAAACAAAGCAAGCATAAAGGTGACTAGTTAGAGGCGGAGCAAAACCCCGTTAAAATTAAATAAATCGATCCTATAGGCCTTACATAGTATATGGCTATAAACATCATACAGATTATAGAAAAAGACGAGCATGTGGCATAAATATATGTGAATGGAATAAATTATCAAGTACACAGTATAAGCATAAAGTTAATCTACTAAAGAGCCAAAAAAAAAAAAAAAGGCAGCTGAAATGCACAACAGTTACAAGTATGAATAGGGGAGACTCAGTGATAAATCTCATGCAAAACGTAGAAATGCTATTTCATAAAAGAATATTCGCTCATATATACAACATATGGGCGTGTGTGTGTTGTGTTTGTGTGTGAATGAATAGTTAAAAATAACATAAAATTAAATCAATTAATTTATTCATGAATTATTGAATCTAAAAAAAATATAAATGAAAAAAAAAAACAACGAACGAACGAATCAATAAATAAATGGATAATGCAATTAATGGATGGATGGGTGAATGAATAATTGAACGAAACAAATTGAGTAAATAAAATTATATGAATGATTTATTAGGCCTAAATGAATGGATGGTTGAATGAATGAACGAAATGATTGAATGGATAGGTCTATAACAATATTTTCTTTTCTGTTTTTTAATTTACCTATCAATAGAGATAATATGTGAGGGAGAAGAAGAAACCCTAAATTGCACTGGATGTCGTTTCATACATGTGGTATCTGCAACATATGGTCGCCACGAAGATGTAAATGTATATTGCTATCATAAGTCCACAACTAACACTAATTGTGGTGAGTGGGATAATGTGCTGGAAGTTACATCTCAGCATTTAAACAATACATACAATTGTTCTATGCACTCCTCGCACAGGAATTTGCTTGTTGACGATCCCTGTCCATTTAACTACAAGTACTTGGAAATTGACTTCGAATGCATTCAAGGTGAATTTGATTCTATTATGCATTATATTACTGTGTAATGATTGATTTTTATTATATACAGTGGGTACTTATATTACATTATTATTATTAACACAATCATATTGCTTGCATCACAAAAACAGTGTGTAGTAACCCGATTGAGACTACGGTATCGTAAGTAAGTACCGATACATGTATAAATAATATAATTATGCATAGATTATTAAATTTATTCATACATACATAGTGTGTAGATTAGGCCTATATGTAATAGTATATAAAATTTCACATAGTATATATAAATTATACTAATTTATTATGTTTCTTTGGTCAATTAATATTTCTTAATGTTTATGCAGTTTTTCTCATTTAAAGGAAAGCTATTTTAAATTCAAATTTTGTTTCCTTACTATCTTCTAAATCATATAGACATGATTTTTCACTGAAAAGCTTTGTTCAATACGATCACAACATCAATTTGTTTTATTTGTTTACTGTATAAGTAATTATTTATGCTATATTAACATTTTTAGCTATTCATTTCATAAATTAATAGTTTGACGCAGTAATTACTTACATGTTATACCAAGAAAACTCAGCAATATAAAGGAGTATACAGTAATGTAAAATATATTATTTTGTATATGTTAACTTATTTTTATATCATCATTTGTTTGGCTTTTTGTTTATTCAAATTCATAGTTTAGCGTAGCAAATAGGCCTAATATACATTAGCAAACGGTGATTTTGTATTATCTGATCAAGTGCTCAATACTATGCCTAAGCAGTAGATCATGTAGAGTACAGTATTATATTTTGACCCATCAACATTTCTTCGCGACTCAAACATTGGTTTTGAGTCGCGACCCATGGGTTGAGGAACGGAGCATTACTTAAAAGTGATTAAATTTTGATAAGGATCAATTAATTTATAAATGCAAAGTTTGGCATATTACTATACAGTATTGATAAGATATTTCGTATATCGCATTTTACCTTTGTAATTAACTTCTTAATTTTAAAATTAGTTTTACCCTGCAATTCTTGTCTTTCAATTTTTATTTATATTTAATATCTTTTTAACTTCCGACTGATTTTAATAATTTCATTATTCTGTTATTTTGTGTTTGTCAGTTTTAAAGTTCTTTGGACAAAATTAAATGAAGTATTTTATATATATCTGAATGTAATATATGTTATATTGGCCTAATCATAACCAATATTATTGATATACGTGTTTTGTCGTTAATTTCGTCACTTAATAAATGACATTTCCATTTGATAATGGCTAATTAGTGTCTCTATTTATCTATGTACTCGCTCGCTATTAACACAAATGATTTGGCTTGGTTGTTAAAAAAGTTCCGTCATTGAATATGTTTTATAATGAAACATGCTTTAGAATCGGATAGACAGAAAAAGGTTGTTTCTACCTTCTCAAATTTTGCAACATATTAAAAACTGCAGTGGGATGGTATAAGCCTTCTTAATAATTTTGAATTTACAACTACAGGCAGGGGCGGAACCAGAGATGTCCAAAAAGGGGGGGGGGGCGAAAGTTGGGCTGATCGAGACAACACTGTACTAGGGGATCCGAAATGTTTGTGTTCTAGATGCCCAAAAAATAATACCATTTGAGGTGTCTGGGCTATTTTTTTTTTTCTATTTCTTTATTTTTTTCTTTGTTTTACCTCCCAAAAAGGAGGGGGTGGCGCGGCCGGGCTGCCGCCCCTGAAAGCAGTTTGAGTATGGAGGGCATATGACATTTGACCTGGTTCAAAAAGTGTAAACAAATTTCAAAGATACCATAGCGTCTTTTGGTGTGCATAAACCAACAAAATACAATAGAATTTTTAAATAAATGATCACTGCGAAGGTGTCTGATCAACCTGTTCGCCAACATCTACCAGTCTGTGCACTTAGAAATGAAGGATACGTTTAATAATCATTTGTTTTTCTGTCCCAAAGATGGATTTATAAAGTCTTACATAAGCTTCTGTACACTAGAAAATCAGATAGTTACAGAAACAATTGAATACAGACCTGAGAATCAAACACTGTTGGACAAAGCAGAATTAGGTTATGCTAAAAGGCTTTTAACCGGCACTTGCATATTCCCATGGTAGCATTTTTATCTTCTATTGTCTAATCTTTCAATTAAATTTTTAATTGCTCCAAAAGCCATCAGTCGACTATTACCTGCGATACAAGAAACATTACATTTATATTCATCAATATATATTTGCAATGGTAAGAAGACTGATTGTTGTATTCCTAAACGCGAAATAGATATTTAAGAATGTGATCATTAGAATGAACAATTGGACAAAAAGTGCATGGAGTGAAATATTTAAATCTTGTGTTGTACCATGTATTACCATATTAAGCAAATAGGTGTGGATATGAAGAATATTAAGAGTAATCTGATAGAAGTTTACTGAAAATATATTCAACACTTATTAAATACGCACCTGCACATTCAAAGAAAACAAGAAAAGATTTTCAGAAACAATAAAAAGAATACATTCAAAAGAAATTTCAGATAGTCAGTGTCAGGGGTTGAGAAAAACAGGAGAATAGCTAGGAACGACAGTGAGTTATCTCAACCATCAGAATATCTGAGCAAAAGATGTAAAGCTATTAGAGAAGTGACAAGACACATCTTTAACATCCAATTGTATATGGCAAAATTAAGTTTTCGTGGTGAATTCTACAATTAAATTGAGTCTTCCTAAGTTGAAAACCATAACTCGTCGTTGAAAGCGAATTTATCATGGATTGCTTTTGTCAGAGTGGTCTTTGAATTTTTTTTTTTTTTTTTTTTTTTTCAGAAAGTTAAATTAGGTTGTTTGCTTTACATGCAATGCAGTAAGTTTAACATACTTAAAATAAACTGGCAACACATGTTGTTATAATAGTCATGTAATAGTAATATTATGGTGACATGAATTAGGGCCTATATTTTATATTATAGCGTTTTCCGTACAGTAAAAATATGTATATTTACAACATTTTTTTTAACGAAAACATGCTGCTTTTTCTGGAAATACAGTAACCTTACAACACATTCCTTAGCATGTTGTTAATCTAGTCAGGTAACTATATTTGTTATGGTTAATGAATTATATTATATTTTATAGCGTTAACTGTTTAAATATTTATGTTGATTTTCAATAAAAACAATTCTGTTTTCTGGCAATACAGTACAAAATTAAGTTTTTAATTACTTGAAATGAGCCTGGCAACACATTTCTTAACATGTTGTTAGACTATTTATGTAACTATAGTAACATTGTTTTAAAATAAATTTATGTTGATGTATAGTGTTATCCATTTAGTAAAAAATGATATATTTTTATTTAAAAAGAAAACGTTTTTTTCTGGCAATACCGCATCCCCGTGTTTAAATTACCCACAACTTTTATTCTTGATTATTGTTTGGACAACTATTGACTATCAAAATATGGAAGATGGTGGATATGTGTGCACCACTTTGGAAGCTACAGATAGGTTTCTGAGGCATACTTTTAAAATATATATATTTATTTGAGAAAAACCCCCTTTTGTAAATAATGGTATCTTCCAAACAGAATTTTTTTTTGCAATAAATGAAAGTTAATACCTGGTTATTTACATGGATGATCACAAAAATATATATAGTGCTTGTTCTTTTTGTTAAATAAGGTCTGAAAGTCAGTGTTTTTTCACTTTTGAAAATGTCCAAAATTGACAAAAACGATAAAATTTAGATAATGGGTCGTTGCCATGACAACAAAGGCTAAAAAAATTTAAAAAATGTCATATATATGCTTTTTATTTAAGTATCTATTCATGGTAAAAATTTGAGAGAAATCAATTTTTTGACATCTGCCACCAAATCTTTGATTTTTATGGACAACCATTAACAATTTATTGCCGACATAATTATATTGGTGATGTTTGCAGTAGTAAATTGACCTGTGAAACTTGTAATAGTTGTAATTTTGTATTTATTTCCTGAATTGAATTTTTGTACATTTTGAGATATTTTTATTGGTATTCGAATAATAATTGTTATTGAATTTAAATATTTAAATTTTATGTAATTGTAAATAATTGTAATTTAATTAGGTCACCACAACGTGTAATAAATCTCAATGATTTTAATATTGTAATTATATTTTATTTATCTTTCCTTTTAATTGATTGTCTTTCAATATTGTAGATTTTAATTTAAAACTCTTAATTTATCTGTATTTTATTGTAATAATTTAGAATTGTATATTAGTTTGTTAGGTAATTAATAATATTTATTTTTTACTGAATTTTCCAATTTTAATTATTTTTACAATGTAATTAATTATAAGTCTATTTTTGTAGTTTTTTCTATATAATATTTTTGTAATTTGATTAATGCTGCCTAGCTGTTTTATATTGTATTTTATCAATTTTTATGAAAGCGCTTTGAACAGAACCCTGAAAATTCGCTATATGAATTAATATATTATTTATTATTAAATATGCTTCTCCCATTACAAGTCTTTTGCAGTGACAGAATGATTTGTTACGATTTTGAGGAAGTGTTTTATCCAACCACCAGATAATGATTTTCCTGCTGTAGGCCTAGGCGATACACACAGCGTGCATCATTTACGCAGGCCGTGGTTAGGCCTAAAATGAAACACAAGACTGGTTTATTAGTTTTAAATATTCCGTGTGTGGGGTATTTGGTCATGCAATAAATGTACATTAAATAAAGGGGTCAGCATTTTCGGAATTGAATGCATGTACTTTGTTGCGGCGTTAAGCACACACAACCAAAACAAAACAAGGTAAAAAAATAAACTACAGCGGACCAACACGATTTAAGACCATGCACATCGTTTAACTTCTTTTCGTAGGCCTACTTTTACACTAAAGGGTTTACTGGGCGCGAAGCTTTACTTAATTTTCACCAGTGATTTCACATATAATTTCATATAATTATAAAATAAAGAATGAAAACATATTAGGAACAACAGTAACAGACCCTCTAATAAACGGTAGGTTATTTTTTTTCACCCTTAACTTGACCAATATCATTTGACTGAACATGTGGCCTACCGTTATTTATTTTAAAGTACTGTAAAGTATATCATGTTTTCTTTGTGACAGCTGTCAAACACGTTAATATATAAATATAAAAGATAGGGTCTATTTATTGAAACAATCAGATAGGGCCTATTGTTTTTCCGCTTCCAAGAAAAGCCATAATTGTTTGTTTGTTTGCATTAAGCACTCATACACTGTAATTTATTCAGTTACCTCTAAGATGATGACGTGTAATAATGTGCAGAGTTGTCAAATATTTTCAAGGATTATTTTTATATCTAAGCAGGTGTTGATCCTTGTCAAATGTTAAACTGCCAAAATGGGGGAACGTGTGTTCTTCGTCCGCTTTGTAATAGCTGTAATGCATCATGCATGTGCAGATCATGTTTCACTGGAGATTCATGTGAAAATCGTGAGTAGAATATTTTAGCTCTCCCTACTTCTCTCACACTCGCACTATCTCGAAATGTAATTAAATTTATATACTTCTGATTTTAGAAGTGATGTCAGCAATTCAATTAAAGATATTAATATTTTTATAATTCCTTATTTTTATTATTATTGTTACTAATATTACTATTGTAATTGCTATTTGTATTGTTGTAAAATTATTATTATTATTATTATTATTATTATTATTATTATTATTATTATTATTATTATCATTATTATTATTATTATTATTATTATTATTATTACTATTATTATCATTAGGCCTATGTATTAATGCTTGCGGGACAACACGTAGATAGTTTTGAAAATAACTGTTGATGGTTGAGAATATCTCGACGTTCAAATTGAGTTGCTCCAATCGTCTTCAGAAGAATAATATCTGCAGAAATCCCAAAACATGATATACTTGTATTTTTGGTTGGTGAGACTTGCTGGTGATTGGTTGAAAACTAAAAAAATATCTGAGAATACGTGTGAAAAGGCTAAGGCTAATACAAAAGGTTGGGTGAGGCTGGAAAGCCAATACAGAGGCATTGTTCTGGCTAGGTGATGATGAAAGCCAAATACAATGGCATAATTTGCAGTGTGGCGGGAAAAGTGTTGCTCTAGTTTAAGTCCTTTTACATGTACAACCAAATATCGCTGATGGCAAATCCAATATCTTGATGTACTGTATCGTCATTCAACTATGTTATAACTTTCAATGGATATAAAAGCATATTGTAGAATGTTGCACATTATGGATGACTAATACTACAAGATCATACCAGGGAACAGTGTAATTTCACTGTTCCCTGGTCATACACAAGTTTTACTAATAATTTGTATTATAATTTTCCAACATTACTCGGTGACTTATTGCGTTACGTCGTACGTAATCCCAAATCAACAAATGTGAGATTTTCTTTTCTTGTGCATGAGCATCATACTACAAGGTCAAGGTCATAAACAAAATGTAGGCCTACTTTTAATTAGAATTAGAATTTTAAAACTCGACGGCTTACTGTTATAAACGTATGTTGTGAGACTATTTTTATTGCGCTCGTGTATTACTACGGGGTCAAGGTCATATGCAAGTTTTACAAATACAACCGAGTTTTAAAATTATAATCACAGGTATTTGTAAAACTTGTATATGACCTTGACCTCGTAGTACCATACACAAGTGCAATAAAAAAAAGCTCACAATATACGTTTATTTGCGATTAAATACAACACAGTAAGCCACAGAGTTTTAAAATTATAATCACAAGAGTTTGTAAAATGTGTATATGACCTTGACCTCGTGATCTCATACACGAGCGCAATAAAAAAAAAATCTCACTATATACATTTATTTGGCAATAAATATAGACTTGCCACAAGTCTCTAAATTATTGATTTTTCGTAGTACTAGCACATTTCGGAAAGCGCCACCAGCGTCAGTTATGTTGAGTGAATTAATCCCAGAAAAAGTATACTATGGAACGCCATGCAAATAAGTAATATGGAACACCATTGGTGCTAAAATAGATTTATTCTTAAGCATTTTAACTGATTAAGACAAAGATTAGGGACTGGAACCCAGTCTACAATAAATACAACTCAGTAAGCCACCGAGTTTTAAAAAGTATAATCGCAAGGATTTGTAAAACTTGAATATGACCTTGACCTCGTAGTACCAGTGAACAGTTTTTATTCTGTAATTTAACTGTTCTCTGGTAGTACCATACTCGAGCGCAATAAAATATCTCACAACATACGTTTATTAAGGACTAAATACAACGAGGTCACCCAACCGAGTTGTAATGTGGCACATTTTGTCATTTAGTTTTGTAAGCTGAAGAGAAGACTGGTCGAAAATTTCTTTTGAAATAAACTAATATTTTATTTTATAGTCCATATCATGACTCGTTTATACACCTCT